CTCCGGTGAGCAGAGCCTCTCTGCCGTCGGAGTTCTTTCCGTCGAGCTCTTTCTCAAGTGGGTTATATTCCTCCGAGGACGGTTCTCCGTCTCTGTATTCAACCCCATTGGAAGAGGCAAAGTATCAAACACCTTACGTGAATGGGTTGTGGCTGGACTCTAAGCCGCCTGAGGATGGTCTGGGTTTGCCTGAGAGTTTCTATAGGCTGCATATTGGGGAGGAACAGGAGGGTGGGAATAAAAGGATGGGATTTGACAGAGGCCCGGATGGGATTGGACTCGGTGGTGGGTTTTTTGGGGGGAATAGTCCTTGGAATGCTGAAAACCATGGCCTATTTGAGAGTTCTAAGAACAATGTTTCGGATTTTGATGGTTTCCAACCTGCGGGATTCGGCCGTGGAGGGAGATATGATGGGAGTACGGAGTCAGCATTGCTTGGATTGCAGCCGAAATGCGCTGTTGGCGAATCAATGGGGTCTTTTTGTAATCGTGTGTACCCGAATGCATTGTATGGGCCTAGTGGTGTTAAAAGAATGGAACAGGGAGATGGCTGGTATCAGAGGAACCCATCTAGTGCTATGTCTTACCCTGATGAGGATTATTTTAGCTTACTACATGCAATGGGTTTTAATGGCGGAAAGAGTCTTACATATCCGATGACTTCCCCTCAGTTTCCCTCGGTTGAACAGTTGAATGTGGACAATCTTTCACATAACCATTCAATGATAAAACAATGGACTAGAGTGAATCCCACTAATGGGGTTCCTGAATCTTTCCAGTCCATGAATTGTGCAGGGGAACTTGAGGGTTACGGTTGCGAGGATAGTTTCATCATGCAAGGAAAACGGTTGAATCATGCCATCAATAAAGGTAGCAAGTCTTCGAAGGGATACAAGAACTCTTGCACTAAGATGGCAATGCAGACAGGAGAGAAAAGCTCTAGACTTGATCCCGATTCATATGATGGCGGAATGAGTGGAAATGAATGGAGCCAGAGTGACAATAGCTCGTTTAGGTCAGTACCAAGTTTAAGTTCATTGGCCGAGGTTCAGGGATATATATATTTCATTGCAAAGGATCAGTATGGCTGTCGGTTCTTACAAAGGATGCTTGATGAGGGGACCAGCCAAGATTTGCAATTAATATTTGACAAAATAATCAATCATGTTTTTGAACTTATGACGAACCCGTTTGGCAATTACCTAATGCAAAAGTTGTTGGATGTGTGCAATGAACAACAAAGAATGCAATTTGTAATCGGCGTGACAAAAGAACCTGGACAGCTTGTCAGAGTTTCCTTAGACACACATGGGTATATTCTTCATACTGTACTTATTTTTTGTTACTAAATTCGTAGTATTAGACCCTTACTATCCTGTTCCTGAATATAATTGGCGCTATGGTTTCAGGACTCGTGTGGTACAGAAGTTGATCGAGACTGTGAGAACAGGGAAACAGACCGTTTTAGTTAAATCGTCCCTTGAATGCGGTTTTCTTGATCTTATTAAGGATCCAAATGGTAATCATGTGGTACAACGTTGCTTGGACTGCTTTAGCAACGAAGACAATAAGGTATGGTTCTACTAAATTATTTTTCTTGTTAGCTTGATGGTTCAAATATGGCTCTTAAGAATAAATATCTTCTGCAATGAATAACGTCTAATTCATGTTTTCTTCTTGTTCCGTTCTTGTGTTTTCTCGTAAGTTTTATGCGGTCACGTAGAAAAGATAGAGTACGTATGCATATGTACCATGCAAATGCTGATGTGATGCTAGCAAGCAAAAATATGTTGATCATAACTGTTATGCAAATTGTAAATGCAATATTTTGTGAAGCCATATTTTTCGTAGGCAATGTACTATTTCGGTGCATTATTGCCTTAAACCTTCAAATGTTAGCCATATAATTATTCTAATTCAACCAGCGATGTATTCTAATCCAACCAGTAAAACCTTAATGGCGTTTCATACTGATTACTTGGGTAACCTATATAGAATGTTTTTGTATAATACTGCTGGAAGTGCATATTCAAGGTGTGAACTGTTTCAATGGATGTGTGCACTGTGCTTGTAATAGGGCAACAAACTATAAATCAAGTAATAGGTGGTGCCAAATTCCAATCTCTTGCCTTTTGGGGCCAGCCACTTTAGTGTTGTTTTGTATCCTCATGGCACTAGACCTACCTTTGACCATTCTTTGGGAGGAAACTTAATCTTGCATTATAATCAATCTCACTAACTCTTCCTTGGCTAGTGTTTAATTTATCTTTGTCACAACTTTTGAACGTATAACATTTCTTCTGCTGTTCATGCCAATGCCTAAAATAGTCCAAACTTAATCAGATGATAGTACAAATCTCAGGGGAAGCTTTCAAGTCCAGTTGTGAACCCTGTCAAAACTAACCTCTGGACTAGGGTTCAAATAGATCTCTGTAAGGATCATTAGAGAGATTATCATGCCTCAGTTGAACCTTATTTCTTTTCCTTATATTCATGTAGTCCTCTGTAAGTTTCTGAAATATTCTCGGCGACTTCAGAAACATATTGTTTTGTTGGTGAAGTCAAATTCCCTGTACTGTTGATCTAAAGATCAGATGGAAGGTATATTACTGATAAGAAAAGATTGGCATCTAATCTTGCAGAATTTTATCTCTTAATACTGACAAAATTTTATTTTGATCTCTTAGTAAAGGAGTCACTCTGAGTATGCCGTGTTTGTTTCTGAAATGTGTTGGTGAGTTTGTACGCTAGGAAGTCAGTGGGGCAGGTTCGATGCATGCAAGTATACCACTCTCGGTAGTAGTAAAGACGTTAGTCTAAATTTAAAGACCACATTAATAAATAGTTCACTTGTCAAGACCAAAGACTATGAGCTTTTCAGTAGCAGTTAAAAAATTATACGAATCAACATGTCACCTTGCTTTTTTATGAGAACAATGAGAAGAACAAAAGAAATTGATGCAAAGAGATAAACTGAGGTGTTATTTTCAACATGTTTGATGCAAATCTAGTATTCTATGGATTAGGCAATTTGTAAATTTGCTTTTGAGGCCTTGACTAAAGGGAAAGAAGCAGAGCTTCTCATAGCAGAGTAATGAGATGCTTCTTCAGATTTAATAGGTGACTGTAAGTCCGCCTTTAACAATCCTACCTGTCAGAACTCCAGCAGAAGATTGGTAGGATGAACTGGAATATATATTTACTTTGAAACTATTTTACAGAGATATGAGATAAAATATAAACAAGGACGAACAGACAAAATTATTGAAGTTCCAATGCTTTAAGGACTGGTTATGTGCTTTCTGTAGGGCCTACTTTGTTTTCGTTGAAAGGACTCTAAACTTATTCTGTTAATCATCTGTTGTAGTTTATTTTTGATGCTGCTGCAAGATTTTGTGTTGAGATTGCAACTCAACGCCATGGATGCTGTGTACTACAAAAATGCATTGCACATGCCATTGGGAGACATCGAGATAAGCTGATCAATGAAATTTCAAGAAATGGGCTTCTCCTTTCGCAAGATCCTTATGGGTAATCATAAATGAGTGTCTTCAAACTGTCATAATTTCTGTTCTTTGCTGGCCATAAACCCCTAATATGATATGGTAATCCACTATTGTTTGATAAATTTTGTTTCTTGAGGAACCAAAAGTTTTCCAATCATCAATTCTTTGATCCACTTCAGATGCAAACTTAAATCGGATATCTTGTAATTAATAGCAGGCTTACAGGGACATGACTTTGAAGTTTATGAGAATCTACAGATTAAACCATTGTGTTACTTTATTCGTTTAATCTCTCTTGCTAATTAGAATTCGGTTTACTATCTTACAAACTACTAACGATTTAATCCTTTATTCCGTGGAACAATTTGATTTGGCATTATGACTGATGTGTGGTCTTATTTTGTTCCATTTGATCCGCAGGAATTATGTTGTTCAATATATCATAGAGCTGAAGATCCCATCTGCCATGGCCAAACTGACTAATCAGTTAAAAGGAAATTTTGTACGCCTCTCCATGCAGAAGTGCAGTAGTCATGTTGTTGAAAAGTGCCTCAAGTATTTTGAAGAGAGCCGGCCAAAAATCATCCATGAATTGCTCTCAGTTCCGCGTTTTGATCAGTTGTTGCAAGACCCTTATGCCAACTATGTCATTCAATCTGCTCTTGGAGTTACCAAGGTTTAGAAATCTCTCTCTCTCTCTCTCTCTCTCTCTCTCTCTCTCACACACACACACACACACACACACACACATGTTCTAATCGGTTTGTTTTGTTGGCAGGGCCCTCTTCATGCTGCTCTGGTCCAAGCAGTTAGGCCTCATACAATCTTACGCACCAGTCCATACTGCAAGAGGATTTTCTCAAAGGACCTGAAGAAGAAGTGATGTGTTTTAAGCCTATATCGGAAAGTTTTTGTTGTTGTTTTCTATGTTAATTACGAATAACTGCTCTCTTTTTGGCTCCCCTAGCCAAGATACGGGATGTTCGTCTAAATCTCTTACCGATCCCCAGATGAAGAGTGCAATCTTGGTTTTGGGATGGCATTAAGAAGTCTGAAGGAGTTAAAACAGAGTTTTGATTCGATATGATGCAGTTGCTTCTTGTAATATTCTGTTGTTTTTGTGTCTTTATCATAACTTTGGATGTATGATATTCCACTGTCGGAACTGTGGATTTCTGTTCGATGTTGTGTAAATGTGACGCTGTGATTTCTTTCTTGAGGTTGAGGTTTATTTATATGTCCGGACAATCATCTCTTTCGTGTTATATATATGAACGGCTGGGTATTCCTCTAACGTTCAACCGCTCTTGTGCGCTAGTATGTGACAGGCCTTGTGAGACGAAAGTTGTACACAGCGATTCTATCCAGGAATTCCTTGCCTCTAAGAAACCCTTGGCGAGGTGTACAATTAAACCGCTAATTGTTTTGGTGCTATGAACAGGAATGTTTAACTTGAGCTGCAAGAAAGATGCATTAAAATAGTGAAAAAAAAAAAAAAAAAACAGCTCTTCGATTGTAAAAGGAAAACAAGCTTCCATTATTCTTGTCTATATAAGATCAGGAAACTTGACTTTAGTCTCAAGTAACTATCTGGTTTTACGAAAGGTAACTATTTATATCAGAATTCTGTAGATAATTTTATTCGAACGGATAAGAAACAAAACATAGCCGTAAAAAGAACGTATCAGATTCAGATATATTGCCTCCCTCCCAAAGGAAGTTCAACTGTTAGACCGGAACGGATCAAGCATCCTCATGTCCAACCAGGGCCAGAAGCATTTTTTCATAATCTCCAGTAGTGTCCTTTTTAATGGCCTGATCCAGGGACGCTGTTCCTTTTGTGGTACAGGTCCTTAATAATCATCATGTCAACCTCAGCCCTCGTAGCGACAACTCTAGTGAGAGCTCCTTCATCTGTTCCTCGTTTGTTAATTGCCAGACGAAGAGACTTCTCAAAATATTTCTCAGGGCGGACCAAGCACTTTATCGTGGCCCTTAGTATTGCAAGGTACTCATCCTTGGGGTCAGCTTTCAGATCCTGAGCATAGAAACACTCATCAAATCCAAAACCTCTGCGGATTCTGGTAAAAAATGGGTTTATGTAAAACTCAACTGCGTACCTTGTTGATGTCATTCCCGAATTCATTTTTGTAGTGATTGAGCGTTGCATTGATCTGTGCTTTGCTCCGCGTAGCCAGAATCCTGATGATATCGTCATCATTGTAGGCCTTGTCTGAGATCTTCTCATGGAGTAGCTTAGCCTCGGATTTTGCCAGTGCCAGGTTCACCTCATCTCCCTCATATCTGTATGAGCTAACAAGAGGGGCCAAAAGCTGGGCGGAGCAATGTTAGATGGTAAATTAGTAATTCTCTCTTCGGTGCAGAGACAACTGAAATCTTAAATGAAATAAAACTTGATAAACATATTAACATTGAAATTTCGGGACATTGTATAAATAGGCTGAAAGAACTATTCTCCAGCAGCTTTACCTTGCGGAAGTCCCCAGTTGTGTGATAAGCAACATCCTCTTCGAGAGACTTCTTGTAGCGAGCGTGATAAGCCTGCCTTGCCAAAAGCAGTTCATGTGCAGACCTACTGCAGGCTATTTCCGCGAGAACCTGATTGCATTTAGTCCACTTCTTTGTTGCTTCATTGGCCAAAAATGCATCACGTTCAGCAGGATCAAGTGTCCAAAGCAGTACGATCCTCTGATTAAGAGAAATTCAGAAAACACAAACACATCATTTTACCAGTTACGACAAGCACGCAATCAAATTATTTGAACCAATGCTGAAAGAAGTGCATTCTTAAACTGACCTCAAAGTCACTTGTAAGTTCTTTTTCCAGTTCCTTGAGGAGATCTTCTCCATAAGCGTCTGCATAAGTTTTTCTGATTGCCTTTCTTTGAGCGGCATTTCTATGCCCCAAGATGGATATACCAAGTCCTCATTTGTTCCCCATCCTGCAATCATATTTATCAAAAAAATTCAATATTAAACAAGATCAAACAACATAAACATGAAAGCGACAGCACAAAAAACTGAAGATAGAATCTCTACTCCGAGCAAATTCATATCGAAAGTGACAATATATTTCTAACCAATTGCTAAAAGGGTGATCAAAGCTATTTCAAACCATTCGGAATTCACCAGTGCAGCTTATTCATTAGCACTACGAATGAATTTAAGAATCAAACAGATTGAATAACTAGTTTCACTATATTTCTTCTGCAATCAAGGAACACATTTTCATATAGTAAGAAGTGAATAGCCTCCTCTTCCTTTATGGTTTCTAATCGTCAACGAATATTCATCTGTATTCAAAATTTGTTCTATATTTTTCATATTTGTCAAAACTATATTCTTCATGTCAGTTGGATCCTTCAAAACCTGCAGAAAATTTATAAGGTACAAATTTTCTCTTCGTCTATGTAGATTGATTATCTCATACACATTTTTCTTTTCCAGGTACAAATTTAATAGTACATAATTCTTTACAAAACCAAAAGAAGGCATTCACACGGGCCTTTCACCGATCCACCGAATTCATGTATATTGTCCCCCAACTTGTTTCTTATCACCTAAACAACACCGTCTGGTGTGGGGTGCTTATTACAAAAGGCCTCAGTGTAATTACAAGTAGAATCACACAATAAATCATATTTAATCTGTGAATTCTCTGATGTTGGATTCTTATATTCTTCAACAAACACAGATCTGAATCAGCATCGTTAGTCATTGAGAGAGAGAGAGAGAGAGAGAGAGGGAATTACCAGACCAAAAATGAATAACAAAATCCTTTCTCCATTACCAGTCCATTACCATCATGTTTAACACTAACAATCGGATCGGTCAAATGGGATTGGTCGATCATCAATCTTAAATCGAATTACAAAATACGGGGTGGATATGATCAGAACAAGAAATGATGGCATGGAGTAAAAGATCAAGAGAAAGAAAAAAAAATGTAAGAAAAGAAGGAACCTTTGAAGGCTTTCTTGAGTTGCTCACAGTCTTCGGATGCAGCAGGTACTTGTGGAGGAACTCTTAGGGTCGACATCGTCACTTTTTCTTTCTTTCTCTGTCCCTGAGAAAATTGTAAACGTCAATGGGTCTGGCTTAATGCTCTCTGTCTGTTTGTATATATATACAAGGTTTTGGCAGCTTTCCATATATAGATAGAGTAATATAGTATGGCCATTGCATTCTTCGCCACGTCAAAATCTATGTTCCTATTACATTGGTCCTGGTCATTGTATTCTAGCTTTGATTCCTCTCATCAAATTTTGTATACGGTAGATGAACAATATGTTTCATTCAAACTTTCTAATATCTACTTAATAATTGAGCCATTCGATCAAATATTAATATCAAAATGCTTTGAAATGATGGAGTGTTCTCGTGAATATAGTCTGTTCTTTTTAGATGATGATATATATAAAGAAACTTTTTAGCCCATATGGTCCTTGAGATTTGCATATCTCCTCACTTTGTTCATTGAGATTTGAAATCAATAGAAATAGTCACTGAATTTGTCTATCATTAATTATTTTGGCCATTCTATGAAAAATCTCCATTAAATTAGGCTAAAATGATAAAAATACCCTCAAATTTTGTCAAATCATTTGGCCTATTGTTTATTAAATTGAGGGTGTTTTTATCATTTTGGTCCTTATTTAACATAATTTTTCATGGAAGAGCCAAAATAATCGAGGATGCACAAACTCAGGGATCACTACTATTGATTTTAAAAAGCCTATAAAGAATGAACTATTCAAATTATGATGTCCGTATAATAAAAATACATCAATCATATATAGGAGACAAGTAGGTTCTCCATGAATAAAACACAAGCATTATCCTTCTTCCAATTCCTCAACTTCGTCCATTGACTTGATACCAAAAATTACATCTAGCTATTGGACGAAGTTGACGAATTAAGGTATGTGAAATACGAAATGAAGTCTAGGGAGGAAAGTGATACAGTTGCATATATGATATTGTCAAATATGTGTATCCATCTTCGATCCATGATATTATCGATCATGTCCCCGCTAATCTTTCTCCCGCTTCTCTCTTTTGCCACATAGAAAATAGAAATAAAATATAACATATACTAAAACTCAAAACAAGATCTAAAATATCGATGATATCGGAAATATCGGTAGTTTAAAAACACGGAAATTTCGATGAAAATATCAAAATATTATCGATATCGATAAAAATTGAATAAAAACCACGGAAATTGTAACAAAAACTTGGAAATTTTTATTGAAACTTTGCAGGATGTTTATTTAGTCAATTATCTATTAGTTTATCACAAAAAATTGGAAGGAAATGCATTGCATGATGGATTTAACTGATTTAAGTTGATTATATAGCGAGCTGGCAAACATTGTGAGTGTAGAAAATATGTAGTAATTAATGAAAGAAGTTTAAACACACCATAATCATTTTTATATAATGAATTAGTACAATATTTTACACTTTATATATTGCATGGCAAGATACTTATGTACCACTTATAGAGTTCCTATCAAGGTCTAAAATATCGATGATATCGGAAATATCGATAGTCTAAAAACACGGAAATTTCGATGGAAATATCGGGATAATATCGATATTTTAGACCTTGCACAAAACTAACTGATTTACTGTTCATAAGCACAATGTGCTTACGGTTTTGCCCCTGTTAAGTTTATGTTATTATTTCTTTGCCATTGTCTGGCAAAGTATATATATGTTTTATTTATTTATTTTATTTCTTTCCTCCCTCTTCCCTCTTCCCCTCGCTCTAATCCCCGACTTTGCCTCAGGGTTCGAACAAAACCCAAAATCACCACCTTCAGACGTTTTCCTGTTGCGGCTGGCCTGCAACCACAATTATTCGACTCAGGAGAGTCCCAACAATAACATTCGAGTTTTGCATGATTGAATCTACCCCTCGATCGAAGAGTTCCATAAGCCCAGCTTGCGGTGTTGTTTTTTTCGACGAAGATCCGAGTTTATTTCCCGCCAATTTAAGGCCTTTCCGACCTTTTTTGGGTCCGAAGAAGGTAATAATTTTACCGTACACCCTCGAATTATCTTACTCTGTGAGCTAATCAGAGTCTCTGTGTTCTTCGGCAAATTTTTCCAAAATTTCTTTACAAATACCACTTTTCTCAAATTTTCTTGGTTTTTGCATACCCCTTTCTCAATTGAACCGAAGCATAGCATTAGAAAATTATGAGGGTTTTTTGTGGTAAATTTTCCAATTTTAGGAATTTGATGGTGTTTGTGTACCTATTTGCTCATCGTGAGACTAATTAGAATTAGCAATCTTATGGCTGTGTTAATTAAGTCAGTCTAGCCAATTTTTAGCATGTTTAGGTGGTAGAAATTAAACTCAAAAGATGCTCGAGTGCTTGAATTTTTTAACAATGCTGCGTTAGAGGATCAAGCATTTTAACTTAATGCTGCCTCATTGGGTTGTCAGCTTTTGTACGGATGCAATTAGTATTATACAAATTCTGTTTCCATTGCACAAACAGTTTTCATTGACTAGGAATAGCTATGTATTTGTGCAATGAAATTTTAATTATATTCAATTATATTCACACGATATTTTAATTGACTAGGAATAGCTGAATAAATCAAATGGTACAAGAAGAACATCATTTTGGCAACGAAGAAGAAAATAGAGTGAAGTCCTGAGGAACAATGTAAAAAGTTGGAACATGTGAAACAAACACCCATCTTTTGTTCCTTATTGAACATAAGGATGCAAATAGAGTTTGATGTGAATGTAAATGGATTTTAATATATTCTACACATTTAACATAGTTATAAAACCCACGGCATCGTGCGGGATCAGTTGCTTGCTAGTAAAAATCTAAAGCAAATGAAATAGCTATTCCCGCGTTAGCAACAAATTTCCCCCCACATTTCTCTTATCATTTTTGTTTCTTCCTAACAAGGATAAATATAATTTTAACTGAAAAGCATTAAGCATCCTACATAAGTAAATAGAGGCCTTAGCAAACAAGTGCATTAAAAAGCTATAGTGAGGGAAACATCTACGAAGAATATTTCTTCTAAAGGGAAGGCTTGAAATTTATTTATCGGTCACATATACATTCTCTTGTTCTTAGGTAGTCAAATGATGAAGAACAAGCAATTCACCGCATATAATCATGCATAATGGCTTTGACAATTGCAGCTCATGAGTTGAGAAACTTGTTTCATTGTTAGACGCAATTGCAAACTAGAATTCAAGCATGAAAACACAATCTTTACAAGAGAGAGCAATTCCCTTGCTTCTTGATGCGTTGGAGGCAAAATGCGTTGGTCTAGAACATCCACGATCGGCATTTGGAGGGGTGGTAATGTAGATGTTGATGACGACGTGGGTGAAGAAGGTAGTGATGAGAAAGATGAGAAAAATATAGGGGATGCCTTCCCATGATTGTTTGCAATGCGACCACTCTAAAGCTATAAACACCACATTTTTCATTCACTTCCATTGTATATGCAAGCTCTAGCTCAAAATAAGCTTATAGCAATGGGATTATTAGTATGTGGATGTGATAATTGAAAGTAAGTTAAAATCCTTCTTTATAATATATAAGACTTCACTGTTTAAAACATTTTGTTGTCATGAAGAACACCGGAGGAGAATTTATTTTCTATGAACCTAAATTACAAGGAAGATGGTTTTGGACCGCTATTGACAACTCAAATATCCATATACGGAATTCCTTCCTAGCTAACGGCGAAAAGGAATAATATTTAGCCAAAAATGAAAATGATAAACTGTATCAAACAACTAAGATAAAAAGAGCAAAACATACCTGGTGCAAACGTATCCATATGTTCCTAGAACGATAGTCTATTTAGTTGAGTCTGTATTTAAAAACGTAGTAGTGCCAAAGTCTGAAACATATATCCAGCAAAATATTTTTGCTTGATATTTCTCGATGTACGATCGGTGGTACGCAATCGTGGTGCATGTAATGCAAGGCATGAGCTACACCGCTAACAATGTTCACCTTTTTGCTCCATCCCACTTCTTTAGCTTCTTCATCTTTGCTACTAATTGTAGCCAAGCCTCTTTCAAGAAACTCGTACACCAAGAATGAGTATCGGTGGTGCAAACAGAAACCATAAAGCTTCACAATGTTCCGGTGTCTTATCTCTATCAGTGCTCTGATTTCATTCAAGAATCCCTTCTCCAAATTCTTCTTGCCATCCCACAAGTGATGGAGTTTCTTCATAGCGAAAATGTTGCCACATGACAAATTTGCTCTGTAGATGCTTCCTTGTCCTCCGCTCCCAATGCAATATATGGAATCAAAGTCTTCTTTCGCCCTCAAGATTTCGTCATACATTGACTTTCCATCAAAATTCAAAACTGAAAACGATATTCCTTAATGCATGTTTTTTTTTTTCTCCTTTATCCCGATGCTTCTTCTTTCCTTCCAGTACGAAGACAATTGTAAAGCAGAAAGAAGGAAAACTGCTGCTAGAAGGGTGAATGTGATTACAAATACCCGTTTGTGGTCCTTTGTTGAGCCATACTTATAGGGTTGCAAGGTCCAATGTTGCCGCACAATCCTTTATTCCCTTGTAAAGCTTCTGGCAGAGCTTCTCAAAATGCTTTGTTGTTGGGAAGAAGACTTTCCAATTCATTGTAAGATATGTTAACATATGACAAGCCATGCATGCCTTCAAAACTTGATGGTAGGAAACCAGAAAGATTGTTGTGGGAAAGATTGAGTGTCTCCAAACTCTCCATATTGCTGAATTCTCGTGGTATACTACCCTTAAGTGAGTTGTAACTTAAGTTTGGCCAATTAAACTAACTTCTCCAATTCAAGTGAAATTCCTTGAGAAAAATTGTTGTTGCTGAAATTCAGATGACAAGTCGAGATATTCAAGATATTCAAGATAATTAGTGATCCTAATTCCAATGGCATACGGCCCGAAAGTTGATTTCCATTCACATCAACTTCTGTAAAATAAGTCATTCTCCTAAATTCCTTCGGAATCTTCCCAACTAAAGTGATTTGAAAAAAGATCTAGCCCATGAATTTTTTGTGCATTTACAATATTAGGAGGTATGCTACCGGTAAGGTTGTTTGCCGCAATTAGTAGGGTTTCTAATTGTGGGCATTGTCCCCAGCTTTGTGAGCTTTCCCCATAGAAATTATTGTGGCTCAGATCCATAAATTAAAGATTTGGATATATAGTTACTTTCTTGAGATCTATTTCCTGTCAATTTGTTCCCATTAAGACAAAGTCTCATTACGCTCGTGTAGGTTTTCAAGCTTTTGGGGATTGGACCAATCAAATGGTAATTGACTATTGAAAAGTTTGCGAGTAGTCCACCGTTGCAAATATTTTGGGGGACATAACCAGAAAATTGGTTATTATACAATAATACATCAGTCAAATTCTTGAAGTTCGCTCTCTCTTGGGGGTTGGAGCCAGAGAGTTGTAAGACTTCCAAGTTTGCCAAGTTACCAATTGAGGTAGGAATTGAACCACAAAGTTTATTCACAATTAGACTAAGGATAACAAGGGATTTCAAATTCCATATCTCTTTAGGAATTGAACCACGGAGTTGATTGTCAGACAAATCTAGACTCACAAGAAATTTCAAGTTACCCATCTTTTTAGGCCATAAAGATTATTACAGTAGAGATAGAGAATGGCGGTAAGGTTTGTTAGATCACCTCCGGATGTTGGGATTGAACCATTGAACTTATTCTTGGACAAATCTAGCTCCAAGAGGTTTCAAATTACATATTTCTTTAGGAATAGAACTAGAAAGGTGATTGTTGAACAAGTGAATTCGGCAGCTGATTGGGTTGCCTCGTAGAGTTTAAGAAGGATGTGTCTGGAAGTTTGGGTTTCCATGCCCCTATCCGCTCTTGTGCATATCTTATCCACTAATGGTCTTCCCTGTCCTCCTTAGGGAGGCTAAGAGGCATTAGGTTCCCTGGTTTTGGTGACTAGAGTTTCTTCTCCAAGTCTTCTTATCATTTTCTAGGGTCATTTTGTTGAGATTTGAGTAATTTTTTTATTGATGAACACTTGGTTTTTGAAGGGAGCAAGAAGAATATAGAAGAAGCAGCTAGAGAGAGAAAGGGAATATTCACAACCGCAACACTCTAACCGTTGCAAAATGATGCTTCTCATTCATATTCATGCTTTTCTTACATTAGTCATCATCACCATTCAAATACATGAGCCCTTGTGATTATGACACTTGGTAGTTACAAGGCATGTGAGCCATTGAAATGAATAACTAATCGAAGACCCTACACTTGGCATATGAGCTCAAGCTATCACAACAGAAAACAGTTACACAAAAGGGCAAACAGAAAATCTACTAAGTAAATCATTTACTAACAAGAAATTAGTAAGCAATTTACTTTTCAACACTCCCTTCTAAATTGCTAATTGATTTAACACCAAGTAGACTTCTTAGGTAGTTGAATCTATCTTTGGGCAAAACCTTTGTAAAGATATCTGCAATCTGTTCTTCACTATTGCAGTAAATTAGATCAACCACACCTTCTTAAATTGCATCTCTAATGAAGTGAAACTTTCTACCAATGTGTTTGGTTCTTTGGTGAAACATAGGGTTCTTTCACATAGCTATTGCACAGTTTATGCATAAGCCTTCCAAGAAACACTATGGAGTTGCTAAAAGAGTCTTAAGGTATATCCAAGGGACAATTGACTTTGGAATTGAGTATGTGATTGGAAAGTCTACTCTATTGATTGGCTACTGTGATAGTGACTGAAGTGGATCTGAGAAGGACATGAAAAGCACCTCAGGGTTTGTTCTTTCATTTGGAAGTGAAGCATTCTTATGGGCTTCAGTTAAACAGCACAATGTGGCACTTTCAACTGCAGAAGCTGAGTATGTTAGTGCAGCTGAAGCTCTAGTGGACATTCCGAGTTGGGGTGTGTCAATACGGATTTAGTATAATTTTTTTTAATAATTGGAACAAATTAATTTACTTCCAAATTAATGCAAATATATATATATATATATATATATCGCAAAAAGGTAAATTTTTGGTATGATATGGATACAATTATTGCAATACAATAGCTTATATATTTTATTTCACTTTTTCTACAACTTTTAATTTGGAATAAATTTAGGGGTTTGGGGAAATGGCATAGGTGTAAATAAATTGCATTAGTAGGTCAATAGTGTTCCGATATGGCTGCAAATTTTAAATTTGGGCTTTTATTGGAAGTTTATATGTAGATGAATTTTTATCTAGGAATCATGAATTGTAAGGGCCAAAATTTAAAGCACCCTAAAAAAATGCACATCACGTTTTATGTGCTATTTTTCTTCTCATTCTCCATACTTTTCCATTACTGCAACAGGTTGAGGTTGAAACCCAGCTCCGGTTAACTGTCATTTATCATTAGTATCACTCACCGATCATGGCCTTTTCCCTCCTTGTATGCCCCTCTACAACCCAACACTTGCCTCGACGTGATGGATGCTTGAGTTGCTGCGTTGGAAGCATATGTGGCTGCTCTCTCTGATTCCATGGATGCTCGCTTTGCCGCTTATTTGAGCAATTCCGTCGTGAATTAGCTTGCACGGGCGGGGGTGTCAGCTTCTTTTCTGGCGTTGAAGTTCATCCAGCTCAGATCCTCACAGATCTAGCTGATGCTCATGATTTGGAACCCAATCGCACTCCTCATCGTGATTTCTTGGATGCTGGTGGTGGTACGCCACAAGCTCAATGGCAACACTGCATTGATTTTCCTCGTTTTGTTCTCGATGATGATCCCCTTGCTTGGATCTACAAGGCGGATCATTTCTTCAATTATTATCCCATTTCTGAAC